CTCGTGAGTAGTGCATATGCCCGGCAAAGTTGCTGAGGTATTGAAGTCATTTTAAAATATTACATGGACTAGTTGTTTCAATAAATGTGCCTACAGACAGAAAGGCGATTCTATTGCAGACACACTGCCAAAAGCCGTATTTTTTTATCTCAGTTGGCATTACAACGTGTCCCACAAATAAATTGGTATAGAACCTTCTCAAAACTTTTCAAAGATTTGTGTTCTTTTAGCATTTTTGCTAGCAGTAGCTACTTGTAAAAGAGTTCGTCCAGGGAAGTGCTGTCACCTTATCTATATCTGCCGCCAAGTAGTAACGTATACATTACTGCGTGCCGGTTTTGAAGGGTAAGGGTGCTGGTGAAATTAAAGGCACGTAGCACTTGTTAACTTATGTCTCAAGGTAACGGGCGCAGTGGTAGCGCCCCTCAGACCATTGCAAATTAAAGCCCTCAGCCGCACTGCAACTGGATAGGTCAAACTCAAAGGATTTATTCATCAAGACAACACAGTATACTTATAGATGAGTCAAATTACAGAAAATGCAGACTTAAATTATACAGGTATATATAATAGTACAGTCTTAACATCATGAATTTTTAAGAAAAGGAATATTAATTTAGATTTGAATCCATAAATTCGTTAATTTTATGATCTTTATTTTAAATAAAATTTATAGGCGTGTCGCTTACAACCAGACGCGCGATTTGTTCGTCCTGTCACTTGGTAATATAAAACAAATGTATCAGGTCCGGTATGCGACGATAATATAGAACAACATTACTATCATGGATAGAACACTATTCATGGTAGTACAATAAACATATTGGAATTAAATGTTTACTGTGAGAGCTCTGTACTTGGGACTTGAACAATACATATTTGCTTGCGGGCAGTAAGTCGTTTCACGCCATAGTTATATCGATGTAAAGTGAGTTTTAGTGCCGCCATGTGCATCCTTGCGGCCAACTTGCTCCATAACAAACTTCGCACTCTGCTTTATGTACACACTGTCCTTAGAGTCGTGCTCTGGCAATATGCTTGATATTTGTGATAAAATAAGTTAGCTCTTTTTAGTGTAATGCTAGTGTTTTAGAGCAGGGAGCGACCTAACACATTTCGGAACTCACTACTAACTCTACTTAATGGCTCCGTAACTGTGTTAAATTTGTAGAGAAAATATCCTGTTTCAAAACAGAGTTCTCATGCTTGGAATTTTTTTAGATTGTATACACATTGAATTCACGGGTGAAGACACTAGTTCGTATTTATTATAAACCACAACTTTCAAATTCGCAACAAGTGGTTTCGGAGGGTATTAGAAGGAATAGTTTATAAATGTAACTTCTGCGAAAATGATTGCATTTTTCATAAAAACAAATTTTTTTTACGACCTCTGTGGCCTAACGTCCGTTAAAAAGTTGTTCATGAAATATGAATAATAAGCACTATTTTTTTATTATGATTATATCATATTTCTGGCACTTGTCATAGTACCTTGTCCGAAATATGAATCTTTCGTAGTAGTACTAGATTGTTTATGTTTAATATCCACGTTCCTTCCAAAGGCTTTTATCTACAAGGGAACGCGAACTACGTCTTTCATAGAGTTTGGTGCAGCTTATTCGTTGGAATGTTAGGCTGGCGGATCGCCCGGAATCCAGTGCACATTTAGCTTCGGCTGAGCAGTTATGTCCAAGAACAACACAGCATTGTCTTCTAACAAATATTGCAATAACAAGCAACTTAGGATAAGGTACTTAGGATATGCGTTGTTATCTATGCAATAAAGTATTCAATATCTTCGAATAACGTTTTACTGAAAAGAAAACAGGGAGTATCTAGTTCCGTTTTGAAGATGATACTGCTAAATTGGATAGATCGTTTACTTTTGTATTTTATCATTATTTATTTATTCATACAAGCGAACAATACAGTCTAGTCATTATTTAGTACTGAATTCTTGAAGGTCAAATGTCAATGTACAGAATTTAAATTTATATGATTATTCGTACAGTAGTCCACAGATATGCGTACAAAATTATTACAAGTTAATAAAATTAATTTTTAATACATTGTAATTAATTATTAATACAAAGATCGAACATTCAGAAAAAATGTATTAATTATTATAGCAAACTAGTGGAGTAATTGAATATCAATTCAATAAAAAAATTAAATACACTGTAATTAAGTGTTTATTGAATGTCAGGATGTTTCACCATCATGATATGCAATTTTTTTTCTGAAATTACTCCACTAGTTTGTTATAATTATTAAAAAAAGGTCCACTCTTAGAAAAAATTCACTTCGATCCGGTTGGTTTCGCACCAAAATGTCTCCTAGCAAACCGTGCCATACGCTATGCTTACTAAGCCACGAAACGAAACAACGGACCAACGGACTTCACGAATTTTTCCATTTATTTGTTGCAGATTTTAATAAATTTTCAAACTATAATAGGACTAAACTTGGATAGAAGAGGTGTGAACTATATCAGCCGTATCATTTAACACTTCAGAGAGAATAGAATTCAGAGTAGTATAAAAAAATGACAACTTGTATTGTCAGAAGTGTGATGAAATACATAAAAAAAATATTGGCAAACATACTTACATTGATTACGTATGATCAGTGCCGGCTTTACTTATGGTCTTAGGGAGCGCTGAGCCACTGCCACGCTTCCAAATAGTCTGTGTCGCTTGCCACACAAGCGAAGTAAACGAAGTAAACGGGTTATTGCTTTCCAACAACATTTAAGCACCATTTGAATCCGAATTTCCGATCACTGGGGAAAGTATAAATTGTAAGTATTCTATTTCGATCGCGTGCCTACTAGAGGGTCCCAAAATATTGATTGCACCCGGGCGCGCGATGATTAAAGCAATAAGGCTACAATATGATCTTGTATAATAAAACCTAAAGATACCAGTGGTATCTTTAGGTTTTATCATACAAGATCACATCCTAAACAACATTTTGATATTTTTTAAATTTTTTAATTTTTTTTATAATGTGTGTGACGGGACGAAAAAATCGTGCGCCTGATGATAAGCTACACGCCTGTCCATAACAGTTACACTGTCACACAGAGCTTTAAATTGCATAGATCTGAGGGGCACTGCCACTGCGCCCGTCACCCTGAGACATAAGTTGACAAGTCCAATGTGTCTGTAATTTTACCTGTACCCTTCAAAACCGGAACGCTGTAACTAACATTAGTGCTTGGCGGCAGAAATAGGTAAGGTGGCAGTACTTTCCTGGGCGAACTTTTTCACAAGAAGCTCTACTGCTGCTAGACAGACTTTTTATGTACTTTTGCGCTCATTAGAGCAGGTTAAATCATTATCACGAATTACAGGTGTTTTACCATGGTATGATTTATGTTTATTTTCCCGATTTTTCGGAACGGTTACACGCTCCATGATCCCTGGTTGACTAACCAGCAGCAGATAACAGCTTTGAACACATATGTCTGTTCATCGAACTTTCATCAGCCACCTTAAAAACATGACAGCTTCGACAACCCTTGACAATAGAGAGTGTAAAAGTTCCGAAATATCGAGAATATAAAAGGAAATCATACCATGGTATGAAATTTGCAATTAGTAAGAATAATTTAGATTAATATTTTTATTTTATTTTACTTGGACGGAATATCACAGATTGACCTCCTGAATTATCCATGCCTCTGATATAGCTACTTCAGGAGATAGAATATATCTATAGACAGATAGGATTAGGATTAGGAGGATTAGGATTAGGATTCATCTCCTAGTTTGCCAATTTTTTCAAATTTAAATGGGACCAATGCTGAGGTACCCTCTTTCCAACAAAAAAGAATCAACAAAATCGGTTCACAAATATGTATGTATGTTACGCGATAACTCCGGGGAGGGAGATATCGCGTAACATACATACAAAAAAAAAAACAGTCGGACTGAGAATATCTCCCTTTTTTTGAAGTCGGTTAGAAATCAATTTATGTCAAAAAGAATATTTTTTTTCATGAAAATTGTGACAGATGGAATAATATGAGTAACAAAAATAAATGGGCTATTCTTGACAGTCCTTTTCACAAAGACACAAATTCATATCAGGGGCAGTGTACAGTATAAGCTTCCATAATAATAAGATACATAAAGGTATTAAAAATTTGCCATTGTCGAGATTTATAACTGTTGCGGAACAATAATTCATGGTCTTTTTAAATAGTTATCTATTGTAAATAGTAACTATCAGCAAATATCTTATGCAGAAAGTATCTAATTCTTTATACTCCGGGTAAACACTCTTAAGAATGAATAGTAACGTCTAATCAATTCTTTGTTCTCAATTAATTTTCAGTAGCAGTAAATAGTTATATATATAATAAAATCATTATCGGCATTATGATTTTATTATTACTAACGTAGTTTTTACTGTTTTTGGGCTTTTACTGTCGAAAATAAAGATTTGTAATAATATAAACCAGCGTTTATGTCCGGTATAATTAATAATAGCAAACAGGATGAAGCCAGTCCTGGCAAAAAAAAAAGAGAAATTAATATTCTTTATCAAAAGAGTACAACAAAGGGTTGTGGGTATACTTTGGTACCTCTATAAAGATGTCTACGACCCTAAATAACTTTAGCCATAAGCACAATTAAAATTTCGCCTTTCCATATCTTTTGTATTTCGCATCGACGATATATTTGTTTGGAAAGCCAAACAAAATAATATCAGGAAAGAATCTAGTCACAGTTCCCTCAAGGACACTTTTTTATTATAAGTGTTGCGCCGAGTAAAAGTAAAAAAAAATGCTAGTAGCTCTATTCACTAACTTTTGTATGAGCTAGAGTTGTTAGCTTTCTCCATTCTAAAGACATTGAAACAATTCAAAAAGTTTCAGTGAGAATTAATAATTCATATCACTGATGCTTTCCTTCACTGTACTTCATGTTCAGTCGTTGTTTGATGACCATAATAACTATAAGTATGAAATAAATATTAATTGTACTCACCGTCAAGCGCCTTTGAGTTGTACAGGATCTGAAAAGCAAAAAAAAATATTTTAAATAATATAGAGCTCATAGGTTTTGCAGAAAGAAAATGAAACTAATGTTTCGTATCTAAATCGAAATCTAATCTAGTTTCCATTATTCTAGTAATTATTCTAGTACATTTTTTTGTAGATCATTTTACTAGTAGTAGAGCTTGAGAGAGCCTTGAGAGAGTTTGTCCAGGGAAGTGCTGCCACCTTATCTATTTCTGCCGCCAAGCTGTAGTGTTAGCATTACTGTGTTCCGGTTTTGGAAGGGGAAGGTGCTGGTGAAATTACAGGCACATGGGACTTGTCAACTTATGTCTTTGGGTGGCCGGCGCAGTGGCAGTGCTCCTCAGATCTTTGCGGATTGAAAGCTCTGAGTGGCACTGCTACTGTTACGGACAGGCGTGTAGCTTACCATCAGGCGCACGACTTGTTCGCCCCGTCACTTGATATTATATAAAAAAAATCAATTAATAATAAATTTAAAAATAAAAAATAAATATGAATTAGTAAAAATTCTAATTGTGAAATTAAAATATTTTGTTAAACGTAAGTAGCGTAAATTGGAATGTTTTTTGGAAAATTTAAAATAAAGTATCAAATCAGTAACTTTTGTAACTATATTGCAAAATAGGGCATTAATATGAGACATAATTAGTTGATGACTTTATCATCTCAGGCAGCCATAACCATGGAACTTGCAAAGGGTAAGAAACTTTGGCTTGCGTGAAAATATACACCATTTAGATCCGTGAAAATAGTTTCTATTAGATAACGTGAAAATAGAGTACATGTCATACATTATGTAAATATAAATGGTATTACACTTTTTTATGCGCCTATAAGCAAAATTGAAAACTAAATATTTACTAATAAGAGAGAATGTATAATACATTTTGCATGTGCCGAACAATCGACAAAGGTTACGTCCTCCGATTCCTGGTCATAATATCAACGACTTCTGAATTAAAACAATAGGTATGTTTTTATAAATAGGATAAATCAAACCTTATACGTATTCTGTGTTATAACAGATAAGAGCCAATCTAGTTGTCTGTCAGTGAGGTGTCGATAAAGGGTCCTAAGTAAACCTCTTCTCCGACAAGTATGTTTGTAATTGTACCAATAAGATTGAGATTTCGTTCTAATCGAGTCTGTTTTGTTGTTTGAAAATGTAAGACCATTATTTTAATAGTTGATGTCAGATTATCTGAGGAAGACGTGGTAAAATTCAGTAAAGATGCATTGTTTATTTCAAATTCAATGCAACCATGTATTTCTCGGAACAAATAGATAACAGTAACGTAACAAAAAAAGCATATTGAATTCCTGTGATCCTTACAGTCCGCCTTACAGTATACAAATTTTTTAGTTAGTTAGTTTTTAATTTTTATTTAGACACTCACGCAATAATTTGTACTTACCATTGCAATCCTAAAAATCAACACAAGTAACAAAAAAAAAAATCAACAGTTGTACCTCTTATATTACAAATTATTATTAAATAAAATAAACTTTCAATTTTAAGGACAGTTTTCCATATTGTAGGGTCAAAAATTTTATTTTGCAATAATATCTAATTTCGGTAGGAAGTTCTTTTTTTAGGCCGGAACAGGAAAACCCTGCATCGCGGGTACCATGGACAAATACGTAGACAACCACATATTACACATAAACTCACGAGAGAAATAAATGTAGCCCATACAAATGTCTCCCGGCCCGGAAATCGAACCCAGGACCTCTCCCGTACCTACTATGAATTTACAGTGACAGTCATTGTCAGTAACTGCGTCAAATATTTTGTACACAAAATGTTACGCTTCTTATTGACGGCGAGGGGAGGTTATACAATTTGGTATACTGATTGGGTAATGTAATTACGTGCTCGCAAGCGACTGTAACTGTAACCTGTAACCTCATCGTAAAGGAGTAGAGGCATGACCGCAAGACATACCAATTAAAGATGATTTCCGATGAGTCATAGAGATACATGGTGTCCCTAACGATTGTGGTACTGTAGCGTCTTAGGGCAGCTAACAGCTTAGCAGATGCGTTTCATCCAAGCATAAAAACAAAGAAAATTAGAAAAATGTTAAAATAATTTTTTTAAGGTTTTTTTAATGTAAGGATAACCTTCGTTAGTTTTTTTCCTACCGATTTTTCTTCATCGTCGTCACTATTTATAATTAATATATTCATATGACTAATGCTCACAGAGTCAAAAGTCAAAACTGTTTATTATAAACGACATTTTTTCGCAGCGCTATGCATAATATGATAACTCTTAATGACGGGCATAGAATGTGCTCGTAATGACCGTTTATAGTAAAATTCCGGAACTGCTTTTTTCATAAAATTCACGGCTCATAATCGCCAAGTTATTAACATTATTTCGGTTAGGACACTCGAACGTACGATGGCGTCGGTCGCTCGGCTTATGCATTGTGGGGCTTTTCGACTTAATCTAAATTAGTAGAAAGTAATCTTACCTTTAGGATTAGAATCAAAAATAATAAAAAAAACCTCACTAAAGCTTGGTCGATTTAAATCATGTTATTTAGTTATATTTCATTGACTAGTTATTTAATTTTTCTTTAATCACTTCTAAACTTTATGAACATCAAGTTTCTGATCATTAAATTTGTGAAAAGCAAAATCTACGAATCGGAAATTAAGGTTATTGATTTGTTTTTTTCATGATATCAAGCTACGATGTGACGAACAAGTCGTGCGCCTGGTGGTAAACAACACGCCTATCCAAGACAGTTGCAAAGCCACGCAGAGCTTTAAATCTCAAAGAACTGAAGGGCACTGCCATTGAGACCGTCACCCTAAGACATAAGTTACCAAGTCCTGTGTGCCTGTAATTTTACCAGCACCCTTAGGTACTCTTGAAAACTGGAACACAGTAATGCTCACATTACTGTTTGACGGCAGAAATAGGTAAGGTGGCACTACTTCCCTGGAAGTAGTCTTTCATAAGGAGCTCTACTAGCGATTAGTAAATATTACGAAGCGTAGTTTTAAGTGTAATTTATGACGCGAAATGTATCAACAATATGTGAAAAACTTGTGATCTTATAACCTGAAATAAAACTATGTCAAGACAGCAATAGAGTCTCATTATCTAGCAAAGCGGAGCCATTAAAAGCTGCTTTCAGTACTCCTTTTTTACAACATCTTCACGCCTCGCTTACGCCAATTGCACAAACTTCCAATAACTTTAATGCTCCATTAAGTAACATGCTGGCTGGCATAGCTTTATTGTACTATTTAATGACACATTAAATTTAAATATCTTTTCTGTTGGACGACTTTTCTGTTGGAACTTCTTGCTAGTCCAAATGTCTGACGACGTACGATTTGTTGCTAATACATCTCTTCGTTTTGGTAGACTTTATTTTCTCCTCAGATTGTAAAACTCCGTTATATTAATAAATTAAGAAATGAATAAAAACAAAATGAAATTATAACGTTTCGTTTAGCCATTAATAATTTCTCATTATATCAATGTTACAAGGCAAAAAACCATTAATTATTTAACATTACATTACATAACATTTCTATTTAATTTTGTTTACAGAAAATTTCAATGAAGTAATTAATTATGAATTAAATTAAATTAAATTAAAAAAGAATTGAGTATTCGCTTAAAAAGTAGCACGTAACTCATACTGTCTTTACAATAATATTGGCTGAATCGACTCCTCTCGTAACTGATGTAGGAGAAAAACTGACACATCTAAGTATTTCATTGTTTTTCAATGCTACTAACCTAAATTAATTAGATACCCTTCTGTATTCTATTAACGATGAAATAAAAAGCCGTTGGCCTATCGTTTTTGTAAATCACTTAGTTTCGGCCTCCATTAGTCTGTTCTGTCTGAGACAAATGGTAGGAGCAGACTTCTTCTTTAGCGCGTCGTTTATTAGTATTAGCAAACTTTGCCACCAAGATCATTTGTACGAATGAACGAATAAAACTCCGTGGAATTGTGTTTTAATCGAGTCGAACTACTTTTTTACTGTTCGTTTGTTTTAATTTCAGCCGTTCGGAAGCTGTTTGCTTTGCTTAGTTATAAATTCTTCTATTTTAGTTACTTTTATTGAGTTTATTTTGAAATTTTATTAGGTCGTGCCAACTTTAGTGCCTAGGTTGATATTAGATTATATAGGTATGTATTGTGCGCAGAACGATAAATACAGTAAAAGTGCTTAGTGGGTGTGGCATGCGTGCCAACAGTACACGGAGCGTACTTGAGCTAAGTCCGCCATTTTCGCATTATACGTATTATATGTCTATTATCTCGGGTAATCATCGAAAATTTGGAAAAATGCCTTATTTTTCCACTTCGGAGTGTAAAAGCAATAATCGCACCTGTAATAGTTTCCATGGTGCTGTTTCATATCATCGTTAAATCTTATTTTCTTTTATTTTACTAAATTTTCAGTTTTCTGTTTATCGTAACAGATTTTTGTTATAAGAAACGAAAGTAAACCTTATACCGCTGTAATTTAGTCGACTGTCGAAGAATGTTAATATTCAAATTCATATCCTTTATTTGCAAATCACAATGTACATGACATGTAATTTCAGCTATTTCCTCTACTTAGTATCATATTGAATAAAATTTCGATTTCAACATCAAAATGTCGTAACTAGCAATAACAAGTATTGAATTTTCAACGAAATGTCAACTGGGTAAAGTTCAAATTACATTAACAGTCCAGAATTTGTTACATCTTTTTAAATTAGAAACTACGACCAATCATTATCAAAATTTCATAGTGTGTGTGTAACATTATGTAGTGTGTGCGTTTTGGCGGCTGCAGTTCTGATAGTAGTAGGGCCTTCCTATGTTTTTTTTCTCATCCATATTATGTAGCAAACATTTCTTGAAACTTATTAATGAAATAGCGTCCTTATTTATGTGACAGTGAAAGTGATTTCGGATGATGACAAAAATGACGTGACGTAATTATTAATGTAATATAAACTGAG